CCCGTCAGTCCGAATGGAAGACAATTGAAACCATTTCTCTGCATCCTAAAACCTCTTTAAATAAGCTCTAATCGAAGAGGAGGCTGGTATACAGTAAATCATCAATCAGTGTTCGAAGATTCCTCGACATCGAGTGTTCGGACGTCATCCCCACCACTGGGCGTTTCATTGATTCCACATGACGTATGAATCTCAGTGTCGAGAAGCTTTCGAACACTCATCGATGATTTACTGTACACCTTTCTGAGAGTACCTGAACACGGGAACCGGAAACGCCTGCGCTGGACAAGGCAAGGTCAAGGCCAGATCCCGTTGAACGGTGTACGTGGTGTAGGTGCGTGAATTTTCCGTCATCGGGAATTTCGGTCTGGTGCTGGTCACCGGCTCTACGAGAAGAAGCCAATCAACCAACGGTTCAACGTCTGCTCTGAGTCAGTGGGACAGGGGACGACCTCGATAACGATCAACTAATTGTCTCCATCGATTCACCAACACCGCCGCGCCGGGCCAATTGAACCCGCGATAGCATCGAATTCACGGAAAAGAACGACCGACTGAAGTGCGATATCGATTAAACTATTCACAGGTGACTGAAGAACTGTTCCGTCGTGAAACAAAGGATGCTCTATCTCCTTGGCTACATTACCTCCAGTAGCGATAAGTTTGTTTCTGACGCCTGAAGATGGACCAAGAACCGGATATCGTTTACCTGAATGCTGGTACAGGAAATCCTTGAACGGGGCAGAGTAGAGTGATAATGGTGCCGAGCATCGTGCTGGGATTCATCGACTTCACGTCCATCGCGGTTAATTTCGGTTTGGCGCTCGATACCGGTTCTGCGTCACACGAAAAAGGAAGCGCACAACTCTTTTGGTAAGGGGGACGAATCTCTCTGATCGGTGTGGCTCCTACGCGTCTTTTCCGACTTACTTGAAGACCGGGACAGGATACGCCTGGGCGGGACACTGTAACGGAACACCCTGGGCTTCCGGGACTTCGAACGTTCGGCTCTTGTCGATGGTCGAGAACTTTGGCTTAGCGAAACCGACAGGTTCTACAAACGAAAGCGGCGTGAAATAAAAAAAAAAAATTGGGGCGATACACACCGAACTGACTGGGCGATCGATCGATCTAATACACTGTTGTGGGAAGAAACTTTCTTCGTGACTTTCCCTTTCATTTCCGAGGACGAAATCCACGAATTCTTCTTCGTCGACGTGTCTAATATACTGGGACAGGGTGGAACAGCAAGGAGATAGAGAGAGAGAGAGAAAGAGAGACTCGTCTATTTTTCTCCGCCAGACGGAGTATACCCCCGAGTCGACGGATATATCGACCTACCTAAACGTGGCAACTGGAAACGCCTGTGCGGGACAAAGCAACGAAAAGCCCGTGCCTTTCGTTACGCGTAATCCGACGTCGTTCACAGATGGAAACTGTGGCTTGGTGCTCGAGGCGGGTTCTAAAAACAGAACGCGAGACATGTACGCCGACGAAGGTCGTGCCGTATGGAGAGAGAACCTAGGAAGAGAGTCTTTGAATATGCTGGAATAGGGACGCCCCCTTTTGCCATACAGGGTCGTAGATGTACTAGCTCTGTCAATAGAGGGATCTTTGCATAGTTTAACAATTAAACCTCCGAGGTTTGCGTTTCACTTACAAGAAGCCATTTCCAAAATCCTTCGCGATCTGGTCCTACATCTTGGGTCTGCTCTAACAAACCATTTCAAGTCCTCTATGATCTCAGAATCCGATTCTAACTCATTTTCCCCATAAGTACAAACGAATCATCGAAAATTTCACGTTCATCCTAAATTGTGAGTAGCTTTCGACCGCCTACCTATAAATGGGAACCGGAAATCCTTGAGCAGGGCAGAGAAGGGTGACAGTCTTCATGGAAGACGCGCTGAATCGCTGAAGATCGCTCGGTCCAGATAATTGCGGTCGAGCACTGGATGCTGGCTCTAACGATAAAAATTGTACGTGATTCGCGGGACGAGGCTACGTGTTACCTGTACGACGGAACGGGAAACCCTTGGGCAGGACACAGCAGCGTCATCGCACCACCGAGTGCCACTTTGAACGCCTGTGAATCGGCCATCGTAGGAAATTTCGGCCGGGTGCTCGCAACGGGTTCTATGGGAGACAAGACCGTTTCTAGAGGAGCAAGAAATTGGCAACGAGAAACGCGTCAGCTATCGTTCTACGTTCCCACACACGACTTCGGTTTCTTCGACAACTCGCATCGATTCGCGTCTACCATTCTTCGATCGAGTCTATTCTCAAGAATTCCTCTATACCTGAACGCTGGAACGGGGAAGGCCTGGGCCGGACACATCAGAGTCAGCGGCTGATCGCAGTGGACCGTGTACGTACGCGAGTTTTCTGTCATCGGGAATTTCGGTTTCGTGCTGGCGACTGGCTCTATATAAGAGAAATTCCATGCAGACGTGATCATTGAGTCGATTTCGATTTTCGAAAATGCAGGGACAGGGTAACCGAGGTATCTAGTCCCGTGGTAACCGATGATCACACCTGGAATTCTTTGCTCTATTTTCACTGATATCTTTCAAACTACACACGTGAGTTCTAGGCATAGTTGAGCAGCAACTCTAAATCTCATGTCGATCATTAATAAAGATCACATCTCAACCAACTCTGATTCTCAGCCCACCTATGCAAAGGAACAGGGAATCCTTGAGCAGGGCACAGCAGGGTCAGCGTTTCTCCGAGGCTGGAAACGAATCCTCTGGAGTTATCCATCGTCGGAAACTTGGGTCGCACGCTCCCCACGGGTTCTACGAGAAGTATCAGGTGGAAGAACCGTGTTAGGATCAATGCTAACGCGTCAGCATTCGATGTTCGGAGGATTGGGGACAGGGGCCCCCTGGGGAGAAAGATGAATCGAATGAATCCCGTTCACCTCTTGCAAAGTATCAAACGACTACTACGTCAGGACGATAAGAAAGGTAACCGAAAGTAACCAAGCTTGTTTCGTTCGGGTCCTTTGATCTCGACGAAAGAAAGGAGGAACGAGACGACGTCGAAACTAATGAGCTTTCGGAAACTAGCAGCCTCAGATTCTTAACCGTAATCACGTAACTTGAAGGAACAAATTTGCGTCCCTACCTATAAGACGGAACAGGGAATCCTTGCGCGGGGCAGAAAAGCGGCAAACTTCCATCTGTCCTCGTCGTGAGTCCAATCAAGTTGATCGTACTGGAGAGTTTCGGGCGTGTGCTCGACACCGGTTCTGCGGATCGTCGACGAATCGTGAACAGACACGTGGTTTCGCGTTCGCAATCCCCGAAACGGGATTCGTCCCACTGTTTGATTCGGACTTACTTGTGCACGGGGACAGGGAACCCTTGGGCGGAGCACATCAACGTCACCGAGCCGTCTTTCATCGTGCGGAATCCTCTGGTATCGTCGATGGTCGGGAACTTCGGTCTCACGCTGCCGACCGGCTCTGCGCGTTATTTAATTGCGTTCACACGGACGGGAGTAACAGTAAGTGGCCGATTAAACGAGGGATTGGGAACCCCTGGACGGGCTCAAAAGGTCGTGGAGACCAACGCAGAACGACGCTATTTTATCTTTAAAGAGCATTTCACATTTGGATGTAATCGATTTCTGTGACAATGTGATTAACAAAGTGTTTTTCCAAGGTTAAAAGGTACACCTACTTTGATCTAGGAAATGCCTACTCTTCACCTTAATAATAGACCTTTTCTTGTCAGTAATTTCTAAAATTCTACCCCAATAGTCTCTATAACTTCTGTACCGAGATCGTACCTATGATTTGGCACCGGAAATCCCTGCGCAGGACAGAGAAGGGGCAGTGTCCCATTCGTAACGACTGTCAGACCGTTAATGTTGCTCACGGAAGGGAATTTCGGCCGGACGCTTCCAACGGGTTCTGCGTGAACGTGTACAAAAGAAGCATGAAAATAGATGCACGATACGGAACCGACCGCGACGGGATGGAACTTACTTGAACACTAGAACAGGGAACCCCTGAGCGGGACAGACGAGGGTAACCGAGCCATCCTGGACCGTTCGGAAACTTCTGGAGTCGTCGATCGTTGGGAATTTTGGCCTCACGCTGCCGACTGGCTCTGATTAAGCAACGAAATAGGACTTTCTATTTCCAACTATTGATAATAAATAGCCGCGAATTCGACGCGTTCCTTACTTGACATTGTATCTATACCTGCTTATGGGAACGGGGAACCCCTGTGCAGGGCAAATCAAAGCCTGAGATCCGTTTACCGACGTCCTGAATCCACGAATGTCGTCCGTCGACGGAATCTTCGGTCGTACGCTGCCCACCGGTTCTGAAGGAGCCCACGAACAACGATTTATACGATAGATACCAAATACTTTATGGAACGGGGAACCCCTGAAGGGAACTGGGTCGTTTCAATCGCCACCTAACTTCAATACCTTGTTCAGCCTAGGACTTCGATCTATCGAGTATTCAGAAGGAATTCAACAGAATTTTTCTCGAAAAAACATGGGACTACGGATCAGAGTTGGGCACAATTTTATTCGAATAAGACATAGTGAAAAGCTGCGTTATCTAAGGGCATCACTCTGTGCTTTAAACAGTTAATGAGATTAAAGAATTGTTTGCCAAACGTCGACTTATTCAAGAAGAAGTATTATTTTATTATATTTAGAATTTCCACGTGTAAACAATTCAAAAATGACGAACTACTTTCTTTATATTTTATTCGTTATTCGAAGCTCTTTATCTAGATAGTGAATTTACCCATCTCTGCTAAGGATACCTCTATACGTCCAAAATACGTAGAGACAGATGCAAGAAGCTTCTAGTCGAAAACTATTTTGGAAAATCCTTTCACCAATTCGAAAAACCCTATTTCCTTCTCCTTCGTCCCAAAAAGTCTCGATGTCGCCTATTCGGTTTCAAGCTCCATTACTTTCGATCGTGCGAAACGTTCATTCACCCGCGTCAGTGATCAGAGATATCGTACCTATTAACCGGTACCGGGAATCCTTGGGCAGGGCAGAGAAGTGGTAAACTGGCTTTCGATTCCGTCGAAAGTCCGTTTATGTTGTCCATTGACGGAAACTTTGGCCGTACGCTCCCCACGGGTTCTGTTTCGGAACGAAAAGCCTCTGTGTGACTTGCCGGGGGCCGTGTTTCGAGTCCCCTGCTCGGACCCTCTACAATTCCTCGGGTTACTGTATCTCTTGGTGAACGTTATCCCGAATCTCTCGATACCGTCGTGACATCATCGCGAAACGACATTAACTTTGGTCCCGTTTCGACGCGACACGATGACCATCGTGTCCCAAAATAGTTGTAAGTTCTTCAAAGGCGTGATTCCTGGGTGATTTGAAACAACTTTTTCCTTAGCGAAACATAAGCTACCGCGGGAGCTTAGCCGACAGACTCGCGCTCTGATTAGTCAGTGTTTTTTGTTAATATCTCGTTAACAAAGCCTCGGAGAACTTTTTCACTAAGGAAAAAGTTGTTTCAAATCACCCCTGGAAACATCCCTTTCAATGACTTACATCTATTTTGAGATACCCTGTACGGTAGAATAGTTCTGCCACCCAACGAAGCTGCGTGTTACTCTCAGACTTCCTTCGATATTCACTGTAGGGCTGTCGAGGGAAGAGCTCGCGAGACGGGATATCATTAAAAGTCGACAGCTGCATTGAGCATCGCATTTATTCCACGTTGTGTGCACGACGAGCGACCGAGTCTTTTGACACCACGTTCAGAGATACATTATGAGTGACGTTGAACTTACCACGCGAGAGCGAAGGACAGAGCCCGGAGATCGCGTGAGGGCGCCGCAAAGCGTCGGTACAATGTTAACTTTCGTTTGATTTTCGTGTTGTTTTCTTGACTTTTTTTTTCCGTTTGTCTCTCGAGTTTCGTTTTTGTATCGGTTGTTCATCCGAAACCGATTCATGCCAAGAGTGAAGAAAATTTTTTTGGGCGGGCGGTGGCGCGTGCCCGCAGGGGTACCCTGTCCCAGCATTCAGGTTCGCCAACGAGCTTGATCCTTCCAAATATTCTCAACCGTAGAATTCTACGCTGCATTTTTTGTTGTTGCTTTTTAAAATAAACATTGCATAAGGGACATCGAATTATTTCTGTGTCTTGGACCGACTGCTTCGACAAATTAATACCGATCAAGCTCGTTGAACTATGTGATTACACACGTACGTTGACGTGTTTACTTGGCCGAGGACAATTGATTTTCCAAGGTGCGTCGTTATAAAAGCATAGCTTCTCAACTGTTAAGTTAATTAAACTCGAACATTGCACACGGCTGGATGGTTTCACTTTGACTCGTGGAAGATCAATTGTCCCGGTTAATAGTTTCGAACCCAGACAGATATCGACGAGACGTTACGCTTTGTACAAGTTTTCATGTATACAGTATAACACGGATTTGACGTTTCATTAGACGAATTTCTCTGTCGTACGTATCGATTCATGCACGCGTTTCTCAAGAAATAAATATCAAAGATCAACGTTACGTTATTAAAAAGAAAATCGATAAAAGATTACAGAACTGAGACCGATTTCATTGGAAAAAGAGACATAATCACATTCTGGATTATACACGAACTTCGTGTCCAGGTTCGAAACTCAGACACACGATTCTGATTTCATATAAACAACAGAAAAAAAGAAAGACAAGAACAAACATTTTATAGGAACAGACTTCCACGTTCATTATGAAACACTTGAGGAACTGCTCAATCAGCAAGAGTATCGAACGAATCAGAATCGTGGTTTCAATGTTAGTGAACGTGTTCGTTTTCTTTTTTTTTTTTTCAAGTATCACTTACCGGTAATGACGAGTCGTCCCTTCGTGGCTGACAGTCTTGTCTCTCCTGTGAGTCTATGCTTGGTCCTGCACTGATAGGTCTTGTATCCGTCTTCGGGTCCAACGTCGCGGATGTGCAATTCTCCAGAGGGCAGTACCAAATATTTTCCATCTGTGATGGTCCAGCGGCGAATGGGAGGGGAAAAAGAAATGCATAGAGATTATTTTCACGCCGTTCTTGATTTCCCACGTGTAACTTTCTACCTCGGGATAATTGACTCGATCAAAGCGGATACTTGAATCGTATCGATATTGAAACAGCTTAATCGAGAAGGACGATATTTTACGCTTCCCGTCGATGCCCAACAGCGATCAGAAATATTCAATTATCCCGACCGACCGCACGATACTCGTCCTCCGGCCGTTCGTGCGCATACACGTACACACACGTGGCCGTGTGTGCGGACGAGTACAATGCCGTCTTGATTAATACATTGGCCCGCATGCACTCTATTACCTTCTACTACCTTGGCCAAGTTCGTTGGACGTTGAATAGCGACGGACTCTGTATCTATCTCGCGCTTTCACCGTTCGACGAATCGTTTGGCGATACAGGCTCGTTCGTCAAACAACAGCCCGTTGAGGGGAATATCGAGGTTGTATTGTTCGCTCGATGCCCGTGAAATCTAAAAAACCGATTGTTCACGATATTCCCTTTGATCCTTTTAACCCCTTGCGTGATCCTCAGACGATCGGACCATAGAATTTCTATACTGTATTCTTTGATGTCAGTCTATTTGTGGTTCGGAAAACGTTCCAGAATTCCCTCGATCCCATCGGTAACGCTAACGACAGGTTAACCGAAGAATTAGGTAACCTTTTCGGTACGACGACACCAAGGCGTTATGTTCTTCCTGACAGCCGAGGAATCAACCCATTAACACTTTCAGTCACTTGTTTCAATAACGCTGCTGACGCAGCGGTTGCGTTTTTGTTTGCACGCACCATATGCATTACGGTGAACAAAGAGAAACAAAACAGAGTACAATAATGGAAAAACTAACATTATATCAGAAAACAAAGCCATTTCCGTTTTAAACAAAAAACCGCTGCTGGGAAGGGAAATGAAGTTTCAGCCAACAGCAGAAGTGTTAATATTCCTCCTAAGGTCTTCACGCGAAAAAAACGCTTCAGCGTTTTTCTTCGGCCACAGCGAGTATCCTTTGGACCACTTGTACACTCGTCGTCCGTACCGAAAAGATTAAAAGTCCTTTCGATTCGAAAGCCACGATGACATAGAAACAGATCGACGAAAGGGATAAAAAAATCCAAGTTTTCCATTTTCAACCTTATCGTTCAATTGAAAAATTTGCTTTTACGTAGGTGTGTTCCATTTATCTGGACCACCAGTTACAAAATAACGGACGAACGAGCCCGATTGCATGCAAACAACACCGATTACAAGCAACCACAACCCATTTACTACATTTAAGTAAGTGCACACACAGGGGGAAGGAACGTGTTCGAGAGAGTTTGCGGAACTGGCAGAATTGAAACGGAAGGGAAGGAAGTCTGGGACAGCGCGAGCAGCGGCAGTCAACGTCGTACGAAACAGTTTTTCGAGAATATACTTCGGCATTTTCGAAACGAGGGGCATCCGGGCTTTCGAACGATTATCATCATCGCGTGCCAGACATGTTCCCGTCGTCGGTCGATCGTTTTTCGTTTTTCACGCGATCGAAAATACATACGAGTGGAGGCCGATGGAACGAACACGGTCTAAAAAAGCAACGCCGCGGGGGAAAAATAGCTATTATTTCCAACGTGATGCTGATCGATATCCTGAGCCATTATTTTTTTTCCCCCTCGCTATAACATATTTCCTTTCACCCCAGCCTTGCCCCAATCGTCTTCCCATTTCCGTTAGCCTCGTTTTCTCTTTAACCCACGATCGTGGCAAACAGGGCGTGAGAATATTAATTTGTCGTAACTTTCAGAAATTAATCGAGCAACGCTGAACGTCGCTGAACTTTCTTCATGGTGAGGATAAATAGTCCGTGTTTCGCACCCCCTGTATGACAGCGATCGTGTACCTGTTGCGTGTTACTACCTCTAGTACACAAGAACGAAACGATTTCTGCACATCGGGATCGCAGGAGGACATCGCTCGTTACAAGAAAACTGTTCAAGGTTAACGTGATTTCGAATCCTTGAACCCCCCAGAGTTGGGCATAATGTTATTCGAATAATACATAGTGATAGCAGTATCTAAGAACGTCATCCTGGCCTCTACATAGTTAATGTGATTAAATAATTGTTTGCCAACTGTTTAGTTATTCCAGAAACAATATTATTTTATTAGAAAAATTGGAATTTCCACATAAATACTTTTTCTTTGCGTCTTTTATTCGTTATTCGAAACCTTTTATCTAGATAATGACTTTGCCCATCTCTGCCCCCCACCGCCAGCCGACAACAACGCGTGTTCTTCGGCTGGTTCATGAATGAAAACGCAATCACAGCCTGTCTTTCCGCGGCCTGGGGCTAAACGAAGCGTGCGTACACTCGCGAGTAACCAAGGCACCACACGTTGCCCACCGTTTCGACCGCGCGAAAAAAAAAAACGGAATAATCGTCGTCGCGACTGACGGCGATCACAGAACGTGACGGAAAATAAAAGATCAGAAAAATAAGAGAGAAAAAATATGAATCATGGCGGTATGAATGAGACCCGTTCCACTTGTTTTCCCCCAAGGTGGAACGCGGCACGTGGGCGTGTGTGTGTGTATTTGTGTACCGTAATCGGCGGTAGGGTATATTTCAGTGGTCTCGTCTTCGATCCAAGAGTCAACCTCGACGAATTCGGCGACGAAGCTCGGTATGTGACACTTGATAATTGCGGCGTTCCCCCGAAGGACGTGTTCGTCCATCACGTTCACTGCATACCGCTGCCCGACAACTGCAACCAGACACCGGTTTCCGGTTTTACCATAAGCCGCACAACGATGCGCGCAGCCTCGTTGTCCCGCCAAAGGGGAACATTCGAAAATTCGTGCGAGCTTTTTTTCCATTCCTAACACAGTATATGAAGGTCCAAAACGATTGAACACGTGAGTGTACTGACTTAAGGTTGGTTTATACGTACTATCTGTTCAGACATGGGATGGTTTCGTTCAGAGAAGAACACTTAGCGTTTATACTATCAGTTTATATCCGTTCGTTGCAAAGAGGCTGGGTTATTTAAATACCGTTACAACATTTTTACGTAAAATTAAAATTACAGTATAGTTTAAAACAAGACCAACAGTCTCTATTATTTAAACGCTTATACTTTCAACGATTTATGACTTGAACATCGAAATAAAACGTGTCTGGCTACGTACAGCCTTTTTCACTGTGGCAGTCAACGTGTTGAAGAACTAGTGGATGAGGAAGAAAAGTTTGTCCAGTATTGGCAGGATATATGTGCGTGATTTTACTACTATTTTAAAAAAAAAGTAGAAAATTCTTAGGTACGATGTTTAAAAAAAATAAACGTACATCATACGGAGAGTTAAAACGAATATATCTGCCTTTGTTTCACAGAAAAGTATTGAAAATAAGCTATAAAAAATGTTTCCCAGTCACGCTTCAACGTTACATCCGCAGAACCTTTATCAGAAATCTCCCGCGCGCCTCAACAACATCGTAGAAGTCCGTTCACCGCGGAAATCTCGGACGATCGGTCGATAAACTCCTCGGAGCCCCAAGCACGCACGAATCCAAGAATGAACCGCCCACGCGGCAGGCGAAACAAATGAATCACGGTGGATCTTCTAAACGCTAACGTCTCTCTCTCTCTCTCTCTCTCTCTCTCCCACCACGCGGAAAAATCGGAAAATCGGTTGCTCCGCGATCCCCGTGTTCGTGCTGCATGCTAATCAGAATACCGTATGATTGTCCGTCGGCCAGGTAACTGCCGCCGGTCGAATCGATCCAGCCCACCACGTCCACGTGGTCGGCGACGAACGATGGGACCTGACACTTGAAAATCGCCGCGTTCCCGCGTATCGCGAACTGATCGTAAACCTGAACTTCGAAGTATTGGGCGACCACTGGAACCAAACGAGCAGACAGAGATGGAGGGAAAATAATAACAAAAAAAAAGAAACAGAGAAAGAATGTGTAGGCACACAGAGGCTTGTCCGACAAACTACAGACGACAGTGCCACGGGGCTTTGATCCGGTCGATTAAAATTTCAATGAACCGCGTGGTGGTCGGCTTCGCAAACTGGCGGATAGTTCACCGTCGGACTCTTCTCTCTTTGCCCCGATGGAAATTAGGCTAGGCCAGCGGACATCAATTTCCTCGTCGGTTTGATTAGTACCAGGGCTTAATCTAATCCGAAATCACGAACGAGGACAACCGCGACCGCCCTCCCCTCCATCTCCCAATTCATGTCATTCCGTTCTCCACGATTCTTCGCTTCGTTCCGACGGATCCGCACCATCAAATATTTGACGGAAAATATTGCCTCGTGCCGGTTTATGGTATTTACCCGGGGAACGGAACTGGGCCATTCCGCGGCGTTACGTGAAATGTACATATTATTACGTACTACAGTGGGGTGTACTACAACGAACTAATTGGTTGTACGGTTTATACTTAAATATTGTGTGTAATTTCACAAACTATAACAAAATATGGCGACTGACATTCTAATATTATCCGCGACACTGATACTAACAGATTTTTTAGATACTGGTATATGACATTGTGAATTTGCATGAACTTCCACAGTCCGGTTATAACATTGATTGTAATAATAAAAGCTGTTCGCCGTAGCATTCGACCACCGTATCATCGTTCATTATAGCATACACCATTATATGTATCTCTGTCCATCTCGTCCAGCCAGACACTGTCTCTCGAATCATGGAAAACTCGACGTGATCCACGCGGAGGATTCAATTCGATTGACCGTAACACCTCGGTTTCCACGGTGTACTCGCTAACTGACCGTGAATTATATTCCATTACCGATCGACGCGCGCTCGCGTGTTACCATCGAACGGTGGTGGTCAACCGAACAAAACTGGGATGGCCCCGTTCGACGCGCGTAAACGTTAATTTGCTTCCGTGTGTAGTAATATACTACCGATTAATCCCGTCTCGAGAAGCGAATGCCCGAG